CGTCCCCCAGGACCCCCGTCCCCCACCTCAGAGGCGATGAGCTCCAGCCCCCGGCACTGCCGATCCTTCTCCTTCTGGAGCAGGTTCCACATCTCGGGGTCGCTCTCAGCCAGGCTCTCCTGCCCCGTCCAACCGGGCACGTGCCCCGTGGCAGCGGCCGCAGCGGTGCCACGTTGTGCCCGCTGGATGCTGGTGGTCACCACCCGACCGGCACATCGCTGCAGGGTCTGCGCAGGAGAAGGGTTTGGGGGGGGGGGGGCTGACAGGCTGTGACCCCCCATAGCCGGGGGGCAGGGTCCCTGACCCCCAAAGCACCCCTACGACGGTAGGTGAAGGCTGTGACCCCCCCATAGCCGGGGGGCAGGGTCCCTGACCCCCAAAGCACCCCTACGACGGTAGGTGAAGGCTGTGACCCCCCCATAGCCGGGGGGCAGGGTCCCTGACCCCCAAAGCACCCCTACGACGGTAGGTGAAGGCTGTGACCCCCCCATAGCCGGGGGGCAGGGTCCCTGACCCCCAAAGCACCCCTACGACGGTAGGTGAAGGCTGTGACCCCCCCATAGCCGGGGGGCAGGGTCCCTGACCCCCAAAGCACCCCTACGACGGTAGGTGAAGGCTGTGACCCCCCCATAGCCGGGGGGCAGGGTCCCTGACCCCCAAAGCACCCCTACGACGGTAGGTGAAGGCTGTGACCCCCCCATAGCCGGGGGGCAGGGTCCCTGACCCCCAAAGCACCCCTACGACGGTAGGTGAAGGCTGTGACCCCCCCATAGCCGGGGGGCAGGGTCCCTGACCCCCAAAGCACCCCTACGACGGTAGGTGAAGGCTGTGACCCCCCCATAGCCGGGGGGCAGGGTCCCTGACTCCCAAAGCACCCCCACAACGGTAGGCGAAGACTGTGACCCCCCATAGCCGGGGGGCAGGGTCCCTGACCCCCAAAGCACCCCTACGACACTAGGTGAAGGCTGTGACCCCCCCATAGCCGGGGGGCAGGGTTCCTGACCCCCAAAGCACCCCTACAACAGTAGGTGAAGGCTGTGACCCCCCATAGCCGGGGGGCAGGGTCCCTGACCCCCAAAGCACCCCTACGACACTAGGTGAAGGCTGTGACCCCCCCATAGCCGGGGGGCAGGGTCCCTGACCCCCAAAGCACCCCTACAACAGTAGGTGAAGGCTGTGACCCCCCCATAGCCGGGGGGCAGTGCCCCAGACCCCCAAAGCACCCCTACAACGGTAGGTGAAGGCTGTGACCCCCCATAGCTGGGGGACAGGACCCCTACAACGGTAGGTGAAGGCTGTGACCCCCCATAGCCGGGGGGCAGGGTCCCTGAACCCCAAAGCACCCCTACGACAGTAGGTGAAGGCTATGACCCCCCCATAGCCGGGGGGCAGGGTCCCCGACCCCCAAAGCACCCCTACAACGGTAGGGGAAGGCTGTGACCCCCCATAGCTGGGGGGCAGGACCCCTACAACGGTAGGGGAAGGCTGTGACCCCCCATAGCTGGGGGGCAGGACCCCTACAACGGTAGGGGAAGGCTGTGACCCCCCATAGCTGGGGGGCAGGACCCCTACAACGGTAGGGGAAGGCTGTGACCCCCCATAGCTGGGGGGCAGGACCCCTACAACGGTAGGGGAAGGCTGTGACCCCCCATAGCTGGGGGGCAGGACCCCTACAACGGTAGGGGAAGGCTGTGACCCCCCATAGCTGGGGGGCAGGACCCCTACAACGGTAGGGGAAGGCTGTGACCCCCCATAGCTGGGGGGCAGGACCCCTACAACGGTAGGGGAAGGCTGTGACCCCCCATAGCTGGGGGGCAGGACCCCTACAACGGTAGGGGAAGGCTGTGACCCCCCATAGCTGGGGGGCAGGACCCCTACAACGGTAGGGGAAGGCTGTGACCCCCCATAGCTGGGGGGCAGGACCCCTACAACGGTAGGGGAAGGCTGTGACCCCCCATAGCTGGGGGGCAGGACCCCTACAACGGTAGGGGAAGGCTGTGACCCCCCATAGCTGGGGGGCAGGACCCCTACAACGGTAGGGGAAGGCTGTGACCCCCCATAGCTGGGGGGCAGGACCCCTACAACGGTAGGGGAAGGCTGTGACCCCCCATAGCTGGGGGGCAGGACCCCTACAACGGTAGGGGAAGGCTGTGACCCCCCATAGCTGGGGGGCAGGACCCCTACAACGGTAGGGGAAGGCTGTGACCCCCCATAGCTGGGGGGCAGGACCCCTACAACGGTAGGGGAAGGCTGTGACCCCCCATAGCTGGGGGGCAGGACCCCTACAACGGTAGGGGAAGGCTGTGACCCCCCATAGCTGGGGGGCAGGACCCCTACAACGGTAGGGGAAGGCTGTGACCCCCCATAGCTGGGGGGCAGGACCCCTACAACGGTAGGGGAAGGCTGTGACCCCCCATAGCTGGGGGGCAGGACCCCTACAACGGTAGGGGAAGGCTGTGACCCCCCATAGCTGGGGGGCAGGACCCCTACAACGGTAGGGGAAGGCTGTGACCCCCCATAGCTGGGGGGCAGGACCCCTACAACGGTAGGGGAAGGCTGTGACCCCCCATAGCTGGGGGGCAGGACCCCTACAACGGTAGGGGAAGGCTGTGACCCCCCATAGCTGGGGGGCAGGACCCCTACAACGGTAGGGGAAGGCTGTGACCCCCCATAGCTGGGGGGCAGGACCCCTACAACGGTAGGGGAAGGCTGTGACCCCCCATAGCTGGGGGGCAGGACCCCTACAACGGTAGGGGAAGGCTGTGACCCCCCATAGCCGGGGGCAGGGTCCCTGACCCCCAAAGCACCCTACAACAGTGGGTGAAGGCTGTGACCCCCCATAGCCGGGGGGCAGGGTCCCTGACCCCCAAAGCACCCCTACAACGGTAGGTGAAGGCTGTGACCCCCCCTAGCCGGGGGGCAGGGGCCCTGACCCCCAAAGCACCCCTACATCCGTAGGT